AAGTTACGTTCCTCGAATTTTCACGAACTTCTCTCCCTTCTCAACTGAAAAAAAGCTGCCGATTGCAGCGCGTTCGTGTTCGAATATTTCTCAAATCATCCGTGCACTGTCAGAATCGAGCAAGTTCGAGAAACGTAACGGAAATTGAAATGAAATTCTGTCAAGCGTCAAAAAAAAAAAAAAAAAAAAAAAAGGAAAAAAGAAAAGAGAAAAAGGGAGAATTTTCTGTTGAACGTGATAGCGTGGTGGAGATTTGTCAAGCGTTCGTGGAGGAGAGGAGCGGAAGTTCCGGGCTGAGCGTGTTGAGGACCTTCCGGCTACTGCGAATCCTGAAGCTCGTGCGTTTCCTGCCGAACCTGCGGCGACAGCTGTTCGTGATGCTGCGCACCATGGATAACGTTGCCGTATTCTTTTCCCTTTTAGTACTTTTCATCTTTATATTCAGGTAAGTTGTTCCCCCTTTCCCTTTGGGCGACCGGGTGCTCGCGGGAATTGCGCCACGTCGGTCCTTAGAAAGAAACAGAACAAAACAGAAAAAAAAAAAAAAAAAAAAAGAAAAGAAATCGTGGCGATCGCACGCAATTCCAGGATCGCGGTCCGCGCGCGTGACACACACACAATGGTAAATCCAAAATGGCGAAACGCGTGCGCGCGGCACGGATAAACCATCTGGTCGGCGTTGAACCGAGAGAGTTTGCATGTATCCCGAGCCAAGGCCAAAGAATTCAATCGATCATTTATCGATTACATGTCAGTCGGATTACGAATCGATGGAGAGACTGTTTGAAGGGAACAGAGCCAAGTTAAATGAGACGAGAAGTGTCAACGAGACCATCGATCGGCACCCCGTTGATGCGTTTTCGATATTTAAGGCGAGCTTTCGTCCGCCAAGACGAACGTCGACGGCTCTGTAGTCATATTTCACGAGTGTACGGAAGAATCGAGGCGCGATATATTCATTGCATTTAACTCGCGAACGTAATATAATATAATATAATATAATATTCCCAAGTGAGTAGTTTCCTGGAAATTTATATCCAGTTATGTCCAGTGAAATTTCGAAGCAAGAGATCGTAGATCTTATTTAGGTGAACGGAGAATTACTCTCGTCTGCAGGTGATCTTGAATGAAATCTTGCGATCGACTGTTGCAGAACAAACTCGTGTAGTACAAAGCAGGATATATGATAAATGTCGGCGTAGAGTTGTCAGGGATTCGTAGATAATTTCGCGAGCAGCATAACAATATGGCGGTCGTGACGACGTGACGTTGGATGGATGCCTACGGCCTCGTTGACATTTATCGTATTTTAAGAACAGCTTCCTCCCGAGCTTCCCGCAGGAGGCTCCCCGGGAG